TTATATATACCACACTACCCCCAATCTAGTAGTCTCCTGATAATTCACGAAGGTTCGAGAAGTACGTGGCGTGATACTAATCACGTGACCTCGCTTACGCAACAACGTCTTCTGGCTTTTTTCTCCCCAGTGTTTGAAGTCTAGTGTTCATTTCAGCCCCTTGGTTTGGTTATTTTCCCCATGAAGTTGTTTCTGAGCACTTACACATCTATTGAGGTCACTCCATGCTAATATGTATCTCACTATTTTAAAAGAGACATTTGCACTTGTACTTACAACTAGGCCATTGGTAAGATGTCTACTACTTTGTCGTATATTACTGTTTCTATTTTCATCTGCCCTCTTCAGAGTTTCCTGACATTTCCTATTGAAATTTTGCTTCAGTCTGTAACAAACTGATTTCATGTGGCATTTCTGTCCTACGTGCCAAGAGTGCATTCACCAAGTTATTGCAAGGAAGAATGCAAGTACCTGTCTTTTTGTAGGCGTTACACTGGTTGACTGTGTGGAATTGGTTAGATAACAGTCAATTATCAATAAGTGATTGTACTCTGGTATAATTATTTTTCAAACAATATAGGAGGAGCAATAATATAATATTTACATTTTATACCATATTTATTCACTGTTTCTTTAATAATTTCGAATATTGTATATGTATTTTATTTACTCAGTGGGAAATAAGCCAATAGGGTGTTAAGGGCTATACTTAAAACTTCCCAATAAAAAATATTTGCAGTGCATCGAGGTTTTCGATTGCTGCTAATAGATACGTGTGTTGTAACGTATTGTTACGTCTCCGTTCGTTAGTTGATTTTCCGTAACTTCGTTCCCATGAAACTTTAGCGACACAAGTCCTTTCTCAATAAAACTGGTTTATTCTTTCTGAATATAATGTTGCGTCAGCGAGTCACATGACTAGTGTGACGCCACGTTTCTAGAACTATCCCGTACTTTGGCGAATGCTCTAGTATTTACTAGATATAGGGTAGTTTGGTATATAAAAGAGGGTGACAACGTGACGAAATAATAATGTAATGTGTGTGTG